CTTAAAGGTGACCTGGCTTAACTGGCTTTTTTGTGTGTGTGTGTGGTACGCGGGCCTCTCACTGTTGTGGCCTCTCCCGTTGCGGAGCATAGGCTCCGGACGCGCAGGCTCAGCGGCCATGGCTCACGGGCCCAGCCGCTCCGCGGCATGTGGGATCTTCCCAGACCGGGGCACGAACCCGCGTCCCCTGCATCGGCAGGCGGACTCTCAACCACTGCGCCACCAGGGAAGCCCTAACTGGCTTTTTAAAAATCTAACAATATATGACTTGGCAAAATTAGTGAAATTGGTGCGTTCTTTAAGATGAAGAGATACGCTCAGATCAGCTCAAGAAGCACAGGAAAGTCGTGCCTGGAACTTTACACATTCTATTTCACTCATTCTCACAACAACGCTTCAAAGTAGGTATTATTATCAGTACTCGAGAAATTAGAAAATTAAGTTCAAAGAAGTAAAGTAACTTGCCCGAGTACCTAGCATGTGAAAAGCTCTCCACAATCACGCATCAAATGAGTGACTATGATTACTGAGTGGCTGAGCTGGGATTTGAACCCAGCTCCATCACACGCGACGGTCAGCTTGGTTTTTCACTACGCAGTACCAGGAACCAGAGAGGCAATCACTGTGCATTTCTAGCAGCTGCTGTTAGAGGCTGGTGAGATGCGGGGGTGGGGAGGTGTAGAATTATAATCACCTGCTCTCAGCAGATCCAGGGGAAGAGCTTTCTCTCCGGGAGGACAAAATCTTCCAGGGCCGATTGGGAAAACGCATCAAACATTTAGTAAACGCATGACCTTTGGAAACGGGGTTGCTCTGAATACCCGGGCTAATAATGATCACCTGATAGCAATTTCCTGCAAGCTGGTTTCTTATCACACATCTGGCAGGCCATCCGCTTTCCTCTGTTGCATACATGATTTTTCATTAGCCCAGGCAGTGGGGGTGATGTACACTCCGGCATATGGGAGTTAGCCAGTAACCCTTGCATCGCCAAGCCTCGGGGGAGACTCTCAAAGGAAAAGACGTGCCTCGGATGCTAGAAACGGCTTTTCACTCTAAGGCCCCATCTGACGCTGGGGCATATCAGAGACCTGGGTCTGCATCCCAGCTCTGCCACTCAGCAGCTGGCATTTTGAGCAAAGCACCTCACCTGTCTGAGCCTCAGGGGTGGTTGTGTATGTAACTGAGACTCAGGAACGCGGGGGGCCCTCTCCCCCAACCTGCAAAGTTCTGCGAAGAAGGGCAGCTTTCCTTCTCCCTTATTCTGCGCATCTACTGCTGTGTTGCAAACTACCCCCAAATTTAGTGGCACAGACCATAACACTTTTGTTATGTTTATGGATTCTGTGGGCCTGGAATTCAGACGGAGCACAGTGGGGCTAGCTTGTCTCTGCACTACGATGTCTGGGAGTCTCAGCCGGGAGGACCCCCCTAGCTGAGGTGACTCACACAGCTGCGGGCTGAAAAACTAGGTCTGGAGCATCCCTTCTAAGATATTTTCTATTATGGGTCAAATTACGTTCCCCCAAAAGATGTGTTCAAGTCCCAAACCTGTGAATGTGATCTTATTTGGAAATAGGGTCTTTGCAGGGTAAATAAGTGAAGATGAGGTCATACTGGTTTAGGTGGGCCCTAATCCGATGACTGGTGTCCTGAGAAGAGGAGGGGATTTGGACATAGACACAGAGGGAAGATGGCCATGTGAAGATGGAGGCAAATGTGTCACTGGAATGACTCATCTACAAGTCAAAGGTCACCGGGAGTCACCAGAAGCTAGGAGAAAGGCCAGAAAGGTATTACAAACTGCATGTGTCCCCCCCAAATTCATATATAGAAGACCTAACCCCTAGTGTGGCTGTATTTGGAGATGGGGCCTCTAAGAAAGTCATTAAGGTTAAATGAGGTCATAAGGATGGGGCCCTGATCTGATAGGATTAGTGTCCTTATAAGAGACACTAGAGAGCTTGCTCCCTCTCTCTATTCATGTACTCAGAGAAGAGGCCGTGTGAGGACACAGTGAGAAGGTGGCTGTCTGCAACCCAAGGGGCGATCCCCTTACCACAACCTGGCCATGCTAGCACCTTGATCTCAGACTTCCAGCCTCCAAAACTGTGAGAAAATAAATTTCAGTTGTTTAAGCCCCTCAATCTATGACAGTTTGTTACAGCAGCTCAAGCTAATACAGAAGGATCCTTCCTGAGAGCCTTTGGAGAGAACCCAGCCCTGATGACACCTTGATTTTGAACTTCTGGCCTCCAGGACTGTGGTGAAAATAAATTCACCAAACTTGTGGTAATTTGTTACAGCAGCCATAAGAACCTTAATACAGTTCCATCATTCACATTTGCAGGGCCTGGCCGAATGGTGAACAATGGATTCAGCTGGACCTGTTGACCAGAGGGTCTACACCTGCCCGCCCCCTCAGACATGTCTGGGGCGTTTACCACCTGAATGAACTAGTATAAGCAATAATATAGTTGACCTGTGAACAACGCAGGGGTTAGGGGCACTGACACTCTGCAGAATTGAAAATCCAAATATAGGACCTACTGTATAGCACAGGGAACTCTGCTCAATATTCTATAATAACCTAAATGGGAAAATCATTTGAAAAAGAAAAAAAAAGAAAATCCAAATATAACTTTACAGCCTGCAGATTCAACAAACCACAGATTGTATAGTACCACAGTACCTGTTTAGTGAAAAAAATCCTCCTATAAATTGACCCATGATGCACAATTCAAACCCATGTTGTTCAAGGGTCAACTGTTATAGTTTATAGGTGCTCTTGTCATTTCTTGAGTGCTCATAGCATGCTGAGGATGATGCTAACTGCTTTACAAGCATTATTCTCTTTTCCTTTGTGGATACGGAGAAATCCTGCATAAGTTGCTGATGGGAACCAGCAGCTGCTCCTGCCTCCAAGACACTCACAACCTGGTGGGGGAGTCACAGGTGCTCTGATGGAGACAGTAGAGAGGACTGGGAGGGCCCAGAGACTCATAGTCGTGAGCTGGAGGAGGGGGAATCAGGAAAGGCTTCCTGGACGAGGTGACCCCCAAGTAGTTTTGCCACTCTGCCATAACTTAGTGTAGAGCCCTCATAGCACATCTGTTTTGGGCCTCATGAATGATGGAAGGCACAAAGTATCAGGAACCAAGGACTCCCCAGTTTCCTGCTTAAGGGAGGGGCCTGGAAACTGCTCCATAACACTTCCCTTTACATCCCATTGGCTTAATCCCTTTGGTTTAACCCCATGTCCTTGCTATTGCAAGGGAGGCTGGGAAATAGTCTTTAATTTGAGGGAGGCGTGTGCCCAGCAAAAATATTATACAACTATAGGAGGAGAGGAGAATGGATACTGTCCGTGCCTCAGGGAGGAAAGGTTAACGGGGTCCAAGTGGAGAGTTTGAACTTGACGCTAAGGATGACAGGAAGCCTGGGATGACGTGAATTACCTCAACATCTCAGTGAGGAGCTACCCAGACCCCCAGCAGCTCTCTGTCCAGCTCCCTAACACATCCGGGCAGCCCAAAGATGGGCAGTGACATCACTTCTGCTTTTGTCTACCCTCTCTGCACACCCCGTGAGCACACATTCCTCTTTCCTTTTTTCTTTCATTTGACAAATTTAACTTTTTGAGCAGCTCCTATGCACCAGGGAGTGCCTGGGTGGGGAGAGGTGGCTTTTCTTTTTTTTTGGCCAGGGCCTGGGGATTGCGGGATCTTCGTTCCCTGACCAGGGATCGAACCTGGGCCCCCAGCAGTGGAAGCGCAGAGTCCAAACCACTAGACCACCAGGGAATTCCCCGAGAAGCGGTTATTTTAAATAGGATGGTCTGGGAAGATCTCACTGAGAAGAGGATGATGCCTGAGCACAGGCCAGAAGGAGGTGAGGGAACGGAACAAGGCAGGTGGGTGTCCTGGAGAGAAGCCTCCGGGTGAATAGGAGGGAGCAGAGTCGGGTATGAGATGGGGAGGGGATGACTGTGAGAATACTGACTTCCTTCTGTCCAAGGTGGGGGCCTCCAAGGGTTTGAACAGAAGAGGGACGTAATCTGACTTTTGTTTTTAAAAGATGGCTCTGCCTGCTTTATTCTCACAAGCCTTTAGACAAAAAACCCAGAGGTGTCTACACCACCTTCCTCGGTGCCCTCCTAGCACCCAGACATCCCCTGGGAACAACCCAACCAAGACTAGAACGGGGTCCCAAGATGCCCAGCCGGCTCCCCCTGTACTGTCCTGGGGAGTTCAAGAAACAATCTGTTTCCTTTAAAAACACTTATTTATGTTGCTTGCTCACTCTATTAACCACCCCCTCATGTTTTATCCATGAAACTGATGTTGACCCTCCGTATGTGCATGTAAATGTGTGCACATTTTACATCTGTGGTCCTATGTGCTTGGAAGCTTACTTGAAGTGCAACAGTTGTATCAGATTTAATTTCCTGTTAGACGCTAATTAACCTGAGGTTCTTCATTCGCCTGGTGTTGGAGACTTGACGAGTGGATGAATGAATGAAACGAGTACCAGCTATTATATTAATAAGTACTAAGAGCAGGGATAACGATAATTAGTATATAGCTAGTATGCTGGTTAACGGCACAGGCTCTAGAGCCCTACTACCCGGGTTCGAATCCAAGCCTTGCCACTTAGCTGGGTGACCTGGGGCGACCTAACGGCCCCCCTCTCGCAGACCCGTCCCACCCAGGCCGGCCACCCCATTAAACCAGGGCAGGTGAGAGCAGACCTGTGCAGGTGCGAAACTCACCTCCTCAGGGCTGCACCAGTCTGCCAGCGAGGCTGGCACGCATGCGCGATTCGGCAGATAGGCGTGGTCACGGGCGACGAGGAGGGACACACGCGTAGGGGGTGGGGCCGCGCCTGCGCAGGCTGCCTGCAATGGCGGCAGCTTGCGCACCGTGCTGAGCGTTTCGGTTGGGACTTCAGGCGGCGGCTGGCGGTGGGTAAGCCCGTGGGAGAGGCGGCGACACGCGGAAGGGTGCAGGGAGCCTCCTGGCACCGAGCCTGGCCTTGAAGTGCGGGCTCCCACGGGCCTGAAGCCTAAGTCCCCACTCAGCCTCAGTTTCCCCTTCTAAGCCAGGGTGTTGGGAGGAGTCCATGCCTTCCTCTGGGTTTCCGTTCGCGGTCCACGCAGCCCCCTCGGTTTTGGATTAGGAAGGGAGGGTGATGCCCGAGCTGTGACTGCAGTTTGAGAGGGCAATGCTTAGCTCGCCAGCTGGAGTTAAGGGAGCGGCAAGACAGAGAGAACGAAGAGCCCCGAGGGTCGAGGACCCTGGAGCCCCTGACTACGGCTCCGCGCCGCGGCCAGGGCCAAGTCTTTGCCCCACAGACCCGGGCCTCGGTGTCAGAATCCCTCCTACTTCCTGATTGTTGATGACCTTGTGACACCTGGCAGAGAGAAAGCCTGGGAGGCGGGGAGGCATTACAACCCCCAAATCCCAGCAAACTGCTTTTAGTGGGCACTCCTGACGGGGTTAGGATGACAACGTCTGCGTCTGGCCCCCACAGCCTTAAAGGAGCCAAGGACACTTGTCAGCTGCCCAAAGGAGGAAGCAGAGGTCCCATCTGCAGTCGGGGTGTCCTTTCCCTCCTCCCCAGTGAGAAGAGGGGACTGAAGCCCATCCAGCCCCAGCATTCCCAGACAGAGACTGTGAGTCAGCTATTCCTAAATAGAGAAGCTATTGCCTTATTACATCTTCCAGTACATCAGTTAATAATTATTCTTATCAACACTATAATGATAATATTTTCTATTGTCATTTATTGAGCACTTACTATGTCCTGAACCCTGAAAATGATCATTGTCTCACTTAATCCTCACACAGACGCTGAGACAGGTACAAAGTGCTACTGCATTCCCAGAGGTCTGGTTCTAGGAAAAGCCCCTTAAAGGGAATCCACTTAACCTAGTACTCCATTGTAGAGTGCGTTTCCTGGGAGACCTGTGCAGGTTGGATTTTAAAATTGAAATTTCAACTAGAAATTAAGAATACAGGTTTGGCTTTTCTCAGTATTTAAGAAAATTTGGTATGCGGTGGCAGTATTTTCCCCCAGGACCTGTTTCAGTCCCTGGAGAGCCAGATCTGTCTTTAAAACGATTGGTCATGGTAGGTCTAAGCTGTATTTATACTGGATACGCTTCCTGGATCCATCCTAATTTTTCCAGTCCACATTGGTTGAGGACCTTTACCTGAGGGTCGAGCATTTCTTCTCCATTGCTTTCATTGACACCATGAAATCCTGCATCCATCTGCCAGATTCACAGGCTCACTTCACAAGCCTCTTGCTTTGTGCTGGCGTATAGTGTTAGATAGGAAAGCCAGCCAGCAGGGGGCGACTCTTGTATAAAAATGTTTGTGTTGGTACAACTTTTGCTTCCCCGTGGAAAGTACTTAAATGTAGGCACTCCAGTTATGTGGACTCAGATTGTGGACAGCCTGGGTTATGACGATCCCATTTTCCAGTTGAAGACATGGAGGCCCGAGAGGTCTCATGACATGCGTGGGGCACACACGTAGTGCACGCACCCACCCAAGTAGGGACGGTTCCCGTAGGAGGTCAGGGGTTGTGGGCAGGTTTGGGTCAAGCATCTGAAACCAAGGATTTATTAACAATTGCTGCGGACCAAGGGCTCTGCTCAGCACTTAACACCCTTCCCCCACATATCTCCCCCTATCCCCCCACCTACTGCCAACCCTGCAAGGTGAGAATGTAGCTGAAGAAACGGGTCCAGAGAGGTGGAGTAATTTTCTCAAGGTCATGTAGCAAGGAGGTAGGAGACTGGGTTTATACCTGCTCTGCCCAGCATCACAGCTCAAGGATCTGTCTGCACGCGGCCGCTGCTGTTTAATGCTTTTTGATGAGGTGGAACATTTGGATGGAGGGAAAGCCTTCCTGTTTTTGACCACCTTGCCTCCAGCATGGTTTTCCAAATTTTAGTTACTGCTGTGTCGCCTTCATAATTTTTCCACATCTGTATATCACCTGTACAGTGATTCCCTTAGTTGTTTTTCCTTTAAATCCACTCACTTTTTTTTTTTAATTTAAAAAGAAGGTTTAAAAACAAATGACATATGGGCAGCTGGGGCCAACTTCTAGTAGAAAAAGGTTATAGGGAAAACAACTTCTAAATGCAAAGCATAAATTGTGATTGAATACTGGTTTAGGAAAAACTAGCTGCAAAGGACGTTTGGGTGTCAAATGGAGAAAATTGATCATGAACTGGGTTTTAAATGGTATAAGGGAACCGTTCATTGTTTTAGGTCTGCTAATGGTCTTATGGTTATGTAGGAGCGTGTTCTTTGGAGACAGATGCTGAAGAATTATTTAGGGGTTAAATGGTGTGATGTCTAGAAGGTGCTCAGTTCAGGGGAGAAAAAACCTAGATAGATGGATTGATTGATCATGTGAAAAAGCATTAATGATCATTGAATCTAAGCAGTGGGTATATGGCTGTTTATTATGCTATGCCCTCAACTTACTATTTGAAAATTTTCATAATAAAAAAATTGGAAAAAATAAAAAAGGAAGGAAAACTTTATCAGTATAAATGGAAATGTAGATCTCTTACCATAAATAAACGATTACTATGAAAATGAACACAGTGAAAAACAAAATAACAGTTCTAGCTGGATTCTGTTCCCTTGCCAAGGCTCTGAGACTTTCTCCTTCAGGAAGAATTAAGAGAGGATTGAAAAGGGAGCTCTCTGCCACCTGGCTGGGGTCGTTTGCACTGTTCCCCTCTGGGACCTGCTGTCCTGAGGACTTGCTCTCGCCTCTCAGGTGCTGCTGTCCCATGGTTGATGGGGAGCCCAGGCCATGGTTGCCGTCTCCCGCCCCGGCCATGGACGAGATCACCTTCAAAAGCGACACCGTGCTGTCAGACGTCCACCTCCACACCCCAAACCAGAGACACCTCATGGTGCGGCTGAGTGGCGTGGGGCAGCCCGGTAAGGTCCCTGCACCCGAGGGAGCCCATTGTGTTTCCTGCTTTCTCACAGAAAAGATTGGGAAGACTGGATTGTGTAGCTTATCCTCACACCACTTCTTAAGTGCCCTTGTTTCACTGAGCAAACCCCTGTGCTTTCCCGAGCACCTGCTCTGTGCCAGACCTGGACGCGATGCCGGGAAGGCAGAGGGAATGAGTCGAGCTCTGCCCTGGGGGAGGCCCCGATTCCAGTGCTCCCCCAGCCCACTGCCCCTACCCCCGGCTGACTCCTCCCACCAGGGCTCCCTGGTTTTTCTCCTGTACACACTCCCTCACTGCTCTCCCCAGCAGCGCAGGGGGTCCTTTGAAAAATACAAATCATACCACTGCCCTGATTTAGACCCTCCAGTGGCTTCCCTTGCTCTTAGAAGGAAATCAGAGCCCTCACTTTGGCCTGCGAGGCCCAGCCCCACCCAGCCCCTGCCCCTGTGTCCACACTTCTCTCTCCCGCCCTCGCTGCTCAGTGGCCACTTTCTGCCCCTTTCCGCCCCTCACACACTGCATGTACCTTCCTCTCTGAGCACCTTTGCTCTTGCTTTTCGCTCTGCCTAGAACGTTCATCCCTCCCTGGCCGCCCTCCCCAGCTCCGATCACTCTGTTGTATTTGCTTGTTGTTCTGGTGCAGTTCATAACTCCCCTTTCCCTCATGTCCCAGTTTGGATTCCTGGATTCAGGAAACTGAGGCTCAGAACAGATAAGCGAGTTGCCCCAGGGTCAGACAGTCGGGGGACGTGGAGGACTCTGGCCCAGGACACCCCCTGCCTCCAGCCCAACTCTCCCGGCACCCATACTCTTACCAAAGCCTGTCCCAGTGACTTTCTGGCCACCAGGTGGTAAGGGACACAGTATCCTTGTCCTCACTTCCAACCTTAAGGCTGAGCAGTGCGGTGAGGAGGGCAGAAGCGCAGGGGTTCAGTAGACCGGGTTTGAATCCTTAGCCACGCCCACAGCTGTGTGACCTTGGTCAGCTCACGTAACCTCTGAGCCTCAGCCTCCACATCTGTAAAACAGAGTGACACTGGGACTTCTCTGGCAGTCTGTTGGTTAAGACACCGCACTTCCACTACAGGGGGTGTGGGTCCCATCCCTGGTCGGGAACCAAAATCCTGTAAGACATGTGGCACAGCCAAAAAAAGTTTTAAATAAAAAATAAAATAGAGCGACACTGCCACTTCCATAGCCGCTGGAAGGAGTAAATGCGGTCTTGTGGGCCGAGCGCCTGCAGCGCAGGTGCTCATCAGCAGGGCTGCGCTGGAGGCTGCAGCGTCACAGCCGAATCAGACAGACCTTTGCTGCTGGTTTTATGATATTTCCACCTTTGTTTTTTTTTTCTTTTCCATTATGGTCTATTTACCGGATATTGAATATAGTTCCCTGTGCTATATATACAGTAGGTCCTTGTCCTTTTTTTTTTTTTCCGCCTGGCCTTTAAAACTCTTCCCAGGTGGAAATTGAGGAAGGGAAATAGAAAAGGAGACGGTTTGGAAATATACTGCTTTTGTGTTTTGTCTTGCCTTTCAGTCTTCCTGTCCCAGTTCAAGCTTCTGTGGAACCAAGCCCCTCAGACAGACTCGGGGGCTGAGGGTGGCAATCACAGAGCCCATCACGCAGAGGCGACTCCTCCCGCCAGAAGCGGCTGCAGCAGTGAGGGAGTCTCCCTCCAGGCTGGGGCTGACGCCACCAGCCAGGAGGGGGTGGCAGCTCAGCTGGACGAGGATGGGGATTTGGACGTTGTGAGAAGACCACGGGCTGCCTCTCCCTCCAAGCCCTCGGGGCCTCCGAGAGACAAGGTACATCCCATGATTCTAACGCAGGAGGAAGATGACGTCCTGGGAGACGAAGCACGAGAGAGTGGCCCCTACGATGTCATCAAAATAGGTAATAAAGGGCTGCTCACCTGCCGCCAGGCGGCGCCACAGCGTCGGTCGGGGCGCAAGGCTGCTGAGCACGGGCCCATCCAGGCATCTCAGGGCAGGACAGGTTAGCAGAACCGGTGTCCAGACACTGGGAGCCAGTAGTGCCGCTGGCAGCAGGGGAGCTTGCCAAAGTGCTGTCGGGTCACCCTCCTGCTCCAGACTCTTCAGTGGCTCCCCATTGCCCTCGAGACACAGTCCACAGGCTCAGCATAGCTCCGGGGCCCCTGTGTGAGGTGGCTCCGCCCTCCTCTCCAGCCTCAACTCACACCAGCCTCACCCGCTCAGCCTCTGTGCGCTTTCTCCCTGCGCACCTCTGCTTCTGCCTCCTTCTCAGAGGGCTCGCTCCCTAACACATTCCTGATCGTACAAGTCCCAGCTTGGCCGTCCCCTGCTCCGGAAGCTTCAGTGCTGCTGCCTCCTGCATCAGTACTCTGATCCTACGTAGCATGCCAGGGTGTGGGTTGGGGTTGTTTGTGGAAGATTTGGCCCACAGGAGCCCGCAGCAGGGAGCCATGGCAGATTCTGGAGCTGGAGCAGGGCAGAGGGGGAGGGAGGGGGAGGGAGATCCAGAGTTAACCTGGAGGAGTGTGTGGGCCCATCAGATGGGCTGGGAGCTAGAAGCTGGGGGCGTGGGGGGTGGAGGAGGCAGGGATGCAGTGGCAGGAGAGGTGGGGTGGAAGGAGGTTTCAGCAGGCACTCAGGCAGGGCTCAGAGGGTCCATGCCCGGGCGTAGGGGCAGGCAGAGGGCTTTGGTGAGTCGGGGATTTTGATGTCTGGAAATGCCAGGAGTGGAGAGCAGCCAGGTCAGGAAGGAAGCCAGCCACGATGAGGCACCTGTAGTGCTTTGATGTTCGCCTTCATCACCTCACATAGTCTTCTCAGCTTCTCTGAGGGGTGCTACAAATGAGGAAGTGACGAGCCCAAGGCCGTGCCGTTTGGGGGCAGGGAGGAAGGTTCTGAGTCCGTGTGATCCGTCTCCACAGCCAGGGCTCTGGCCATCCCCAGCACTGCTGTGATGTGAGTCAGTTCACTGAGATGCAGGGTCCTGGATGGTGCCTGAGGTCCCAGGTAAAGGCCTCCCCCAGCACTGGCCTGGGTTGCGCATATGGGGTCCACTGTTCTGTCCCAGACAGAACAGCAGCTCTGATAGCCGTGTGGTCATCCGTTCAGCAGACGGTTACCGAGGGCCTGCTGGGTACCAGGCAGGCTGGTTCTAGACAACCCTGGTGGGGACCCTACCCTGTTTTCTGTGGATTACCTCTGGTCCTCATGGCCTTTCCAGGGATGAGTATTCCCATTTCACAGAGGAGGGAACTGAGGCTCAGAGAGGTTGAGGAACTTGCCCAAGATCACACAGCTAGTCAGTGGCAGAGCCTTGACTCACACTCAGGTCCATCTGACACCACAGCCCATGTTTCTTACCCATGTCACGTGATCAGAACATTGGAAAGTGTTATTCTTGGGGGTCGATGACTGCTCCTTTCCCTCAGCCGTCACTTAACTGGCCTCCCTGAGGAGGGGAGCAGCAGACTTCACAGCGAGCTGTTTGGCCTCCAGGGCGCATGTTTAATGTTCCGGGAATTTCCCATCCTGCAAGCTGAGAACAAAGTCCCACAGGGCAGGGTAGGGTCAGTGCGCCGCCAGCTCTGCCTCGCTGTGAAGCCCCATCTCACAGCGCCTGGAAGTTCGCCCTCCTTTTCGGCTCACTGTCGCTTGGTCCCTACCTGCCCTGAGGGAGGAGAATAGAAAGGTCATTGAATACCTGAGCTTAAGCAGTAACTCCTAACTATTCCATCCGCAGCTGTACACTCACATCTGTAAAATGTGGCACAGGGGAGGGGGTCCTGGTCTCAGGATCCTGTAGGGCTCCTCCACCCCTCACAACCCAGGGGACCCCGGACAAGTATCCTGCCCACCCAGAGCCTCAAGTTTTTGGACCTATGAAAGGGGGTCGGGGAAGCTGCCCTCCCTGGGTTTTGATGGTGATTTCATAAATACTGCCCCATAAGTGCTCCTGCAGGGCCTGGTGCAGAGCAGGTGCTGAGCAGGTGTCCCTCCCCTGGCCACCCTGTTCCTCCCATTCGTAAGCCCAGCCTTTTTTTAAGGTTATAGACCCATTTGAGAAACTGATTAAAATCAAATTCTCTTAGCGGGAGGAGAATGTGTTTTCCAGACTACTTCCAGGGATTGTCAAAAATCTAAAGTTTATCCATGAACCTGCTAGGAATCCACAGACCCAAGGTTCAAAGTAAATTATGATCACTTTCCCCATTTTATAGATAAACTGGGATGCAAAGAGAACTCAGAGGAGGCAGGGCTAGAACCTGGGCTGTCAGATCCCGAGTCACGTGCCTTTTCCATTGGCCTGTGACTTGGGCAAGTACGTTAACCTCTCAGAGTTCAGTTTTCTTGTCAGTAAAATGGGTATAATCTCTGGTTGTGGGGAACTGAGAGAGATGGCACATGTAGAGTTCTTAACACAGTGCTTGGTGCGTAGTAGGTGCTCAAAAAACGTGAGCTGCCATCAGCTTTCATTCCAGGGGACGATCTGAGCGTGGAGGAGGGAGACGGACTGAGGAGGAGAGTCTGGGTTCCTGCAGGTCTAGAGACAGTCCTGGTAGGGGCAGGGTACAGCTCAGATACAAAGACTGTCTGTCTAAGCCCATTTGCCAACCCTGGAGTTTCTCGTGTGTTCCTCAGGCTGGGCTTTTATGTTCTTAAGACGCCACTGGAATTGTTTAAATATAAAGTGTGACTTTCCCCTGGGGCAGGAGCTCCCTGCCCTTGACCCTGTTTAGGGAGGCCATTGAGCCCATGAATGAGGTGATGTTATTTCTGTGTCTTGTAAAGGAGCAAACTGTGGCTCTGGTGCTGAGAAGTTCAGTGACTCACGCCACCGGCCAGACTGCGTGACTGAGCCTGGCTCACACGCAGGTCTTTCTGAGCTCAGTCCATGTTCTCACTCAAGGGAAGCTGAGCACCCCTTAAATGCAGCTGGAGGCAAAACTTAAGTCCACGGGCCCCCTCGGAGAAAAGACCAGGCATAGACGACCGAGGTCCCCGTGGGAGGGCACCCCTGGCTCAGCCAGGCAAACTGGAAGGAGACAAAGAAAGATGGGAGGAGGGGAGACGCGTGCCCCAGCCGGGGGGCCAGTGGGCCAGGGACAGTGTGCCGTGGGGCTGCAGCGGGGGGCCAGTGGGCCAGGGACAGTGTGGCGTGGGGCTGCAGAGACTGGGCAAGAGGGATGGGCAGGATGGGGGAAGCTGACACTGAGGGTCCAGAGCAGGGCTGGAAAGCAAGGAGGCCTCTTCTCTCAGGCACGTGCACACTCACACAGACACAGACACACACCCCTTCAGCCTTGCTGTCCCCTCCCCCCGCCATCCCCGCTCCCTGCTCCCGGTTTGAGGTGAGCCTGGGGTTTGATGTGAACTAGTCTGCCGTGCGTGTGTTGTGGTGTTTTGATGGCCATCACCATCTTGCTTAAAGATACGAGAGCCGGTTCTTATTTAACAGGAAAAACGTTTGCCATCATTCCCTTTTCTCCTTGATCTCGTAGTTCTGTTCTCCACCTCCCCCCCAACAACCAGCACCAGATTTTGTCCTAATGTATTTTGTGCTTGAGAATACTCCCTAACATACTTATTTTTCATCTAAAAAGGATATAATCTGAAACTTATTTTGTTAACTTCTAGTGTGGTTCTGAGTGTAAGAAAGTATTTTGGAATGAGTTGTGATTATTATTCCCATACAGTTGATCAAAAGAACATAAATATATTATGATCGTAACATGCAGTTACTGAACATAAAAAAGTGCAGTGTGGGGTATGTGTGTTTGATTAAGTTGGGCCAAGTCCTCCTGTGACCCGAGTCTCCGGGCTGCGGGCAGAGAGACCCAGGGATCTGAATGAGAGTGACGCTCACACGCCCCCTCCTGACTGTAGCCTGGCCTGTGTTTCTGCTGCCTCCCCCGCACCCCGTCTGTCTCTGTTCTATCCATCCCCGTTTTCACGGTGGCCCTTTCTCTCTCGGTTTCCGTCCCGTCCAGAGCACACCATGGCCACCCCCCTGGAGGATGTTGGCAAGCAGGTGGGTAGGTCCCGTCCGCTTCCCACGGCCCTGAAGGGTCTCTCGGGAGCCGCAGGCCACCTTTGTTCCTGGTCCCTCTCCCCTCCAGGTGTGGCGGGGCGCCCTGTTCCTGGCGGACTACATCCTGTCCCAGCGGGACCTCTTCCAGGGTCGCACGGTGCTGGAGCTCGGGGCGGGCACCGGGCTGGCCAGCATCCTCGCGGCCACCATGGCGCAGACCGTCTACTGTACAGGTAACGCCCCGCCGTCTCACGCTGAGGGGGGTAGGCTCTTCACAGGGCGTGTGCTGACCAGATAAAAAGTGAGCCGGGAAACTGGACCCTGGACCTTGGCTGCTCTCGCCTCTGCCCTCCTCTTTCACTGGTTTTCTCCACCCTTCGTTGTTTTCTCAGCAGCGTGAGGATGACCCAGCAGGACCGGCGGGTGCAGGACCAGTGGTTTTGCTGGTACCTCTGTTCACAGCCCCTCCAAAGAGTAAACATCTCAGAAAACGATGAGGAATATGCCTCTCATACGGCTTAAAAACAAGCTTCTTTTTTTTTCCGATTATGGAAATCTTGCCTACTCTCTGTGGAAAATTTGTAGAACAGCAAATAACATTTCCTCATAATTTTACATTTCCCATATAAATTCAACAATATGCAGTTCATTGCATGCCCACTACGTGCCAGACACAGTTCCAGATGCAGGAGACCCAGGAGTGAATGAAACAGATCAAGTCGCTGTTGATCTGATCAAGTTTTAGAATCTATTTTTTAACGTTCGTATATATATTTTTTACAAGTTTTTCCTTTTCCTTTGTGTGTACCTATTCCCAAACAATAGCTAAAGTCAAACTGTATATATTCAGTGCTGTATCCTGCCAAAAATGTCAAAAAAGGGAAAAAGCATTTTCCACTGTCGTTAAAAATTACTTATAAATGACTTTCAATGACCAGGTAATGTTTTGTCCCTTTTTTTTTAACCATTCTTATATTACTGGACATTTTGGCTGTTTTCGTATGTTGTGTTTTGTTTGCATTTGTCTGTTGCACTGCAACAAATACCTTTGTGCCTCATTGTCTGATAATCCTTAAACTAGATTCCTCGAAGTGGGTGGGACCTTTCTTAAGCTTTTGATACTTATGGTCAAATGATTGCTTTTTAAATTTTTTATTTTGAAATAATATTAGGTACACATAGAAGTTGCCAAACTAGTATCGAAAGTGCCATGTACCCTTCACCCAGCTCCCCCGGTGGTAACATCTTCTACACCATAGTTTGGGGATCACACCAGCAAATTGACACAGTGCAGTACTGTCAGTTACACTCCAGATTTGCCGACGTGCTTTTTTAGGGAGAGTATACCAGTTTATAAGAAAGTACAATAGTATCTTATCAGGTAATTATTGTTAGTGTCATTATGTTTTAAATCTTCGATATCTGCTAGGCAGGAAGTGGTGCTGCTGACGTGCTTTGCGTTTCGTCGATTCCTAGTTGACGTTTTCGTGGCGCACGTCTTTTGCTTCTGAGCTAGGAAAGGGGAAGCTAGGGGTGGCCTGGGAGTCGGGCGTACTTTTCAGATACCCTGCGTAAGCCACCCTGTTTACGCCTCCTTGACGATTCAGTGTAAATCGCCAGTGAACTTCTCAAGAGACAAGCTGTAAAGCAACAGTGCCTAGCGCCTGACAACAGCATCTAATCAAGTTATCTTACCCCTGAGAGAGATTTACTGGAGAGGAAGAGAGCTTGCATCCTGTCAGCACATTCCAGTTAGTAGAGCCTTTTCATGAGCATCAGCGCCTTTAACCTCACAGTGACCCTGGGCAGTCGCCGGGGAGCCTGTCACCATCCCCTCCATCCAAGTGGGCAGGGTAAGGCTGAGGTCAGGGGGCTGGGCGAAGGTCACATACATGGCCGCTGGCTCACAGCACGGTGCCTCTCATCATGTGGGGGGCTCAGGCTGTTTTCTGTGGAGCAGGGTTCTGTGGGCTCCCTCGGGGGCTGGCCAAGGGGTGGAGGCGGGGGCAGCCCCAGGGCTCTGGGTCTCCCACCGCCGCTCAGCCATCGCTGCTCCTCTCGTATGTGCTTGGTGTGTTAGAATCCCGCACAAGATCTGTTTTGACAAAAAGTACCATAAAGGCTTAAAAACTGCTGACCCAGTCCTGTGTTGTCAGGCACATACATCAGTATTCTCTTTACCCAGTGGCCCGGGAGAAGGGACAGGTGCGGCCCTTCGGTGAGCAGAGTCCCACACACACACATCCCCGGCTCTGCATGGTCCCTGAGGTGGAAACGATGGTCCAGTCCCGGGAGGTCTGCAGTGGGCGGGCGAATGCCATTCACAAGACCCCCTGTGCCCTCCACATGCACGCTCTCCTAATGGGAAGTTAATTTTGGCAAAGCACTTCCCCCACTGCCGTCAAGAATACACTGTGCTATAACTCAGGTCTGCTCGAGTGACAGGAACCCCCATCTCAGCAGAGCAGCAGGTGGCTCGGGAGACGTGATGGCAGGACGGTGAGCCAGGCACCAGGGTGCCTGCCTCCAGCCTGCCTGAATGTGCTCTGTCTCCACCGATCACATCCAAATGCCCTCCTGGCTCCAGTCAGCTTTCTGGGGTGTCAAAGAGCGAGGCTTGTTGGAGTCAGAGACACCTGGGTTCAAATCCCAGCCCTGGCTCTGCCCAGCCACGTGGCTGCCAGAGTCGCTTTGCCTGTGACGGGACCGTGACACCAGCTCAGGGTCATTAGAAATATGGAGGGTGGATTCGGGAAGTGTGTGCATGTGTCATATGCTCTGAAGATGCTGGGAGTTCTCACCCTTCCCTGGAATGCAGAGTCTGTCCCCACCAGGACAGTCTTCTCTGTTTTAAGGCAGAGATCATTAGAAAGAGCCTTAAGGTGAACATATTTCATTTTAGTGTAAAACACGCAGGAGAAACTTTTGTTTCAATTTTGCACGTTTCTGCAGCCGTGCTGTTGGTACCAGCTCTCTCCAGGCAGAAGCACAAAGATAAAAGTGTCGTCACGGCCGGCACCTTATGACTTGCTCTTCTGTCTTTCCAGATGTCGGTGCAGATCTCTTGGCCATGTGCCAGCGAAACATTGCCCTTAACAGCCACCTGACTGCCGCTGGAGGTGAGGCCCAGCAGGTCCCTGCCCGGGAGGGAGGTTTCCCTGTTTCGCAGGTGAGACAGACACCCAGAACCACGACACTGGGAGGCGGGGTTCTCCCTGCGTCCCTGGACACCCCGGTAGCAGAGGGAGCGGACGTCTCGCTTCGTGTCACTTCAGATGCTGGACGGCTCTGTCCTCGCCTCATCTCCTCCCATGCCCACAGCCACGTCCTACCTCAGCTCTCTCCTCCCTGCAGGTCGCAGGGCCCTACCTGGTCTCCCCAGCTCCTGTCTGAGCTGCCCAAGTGTCCAGAGCGACCTTTCTAAGATGCAGCCTGACCCCTTCACTCCCCACTGAGCATCTTCCGGGGGTGAAGTCCAAGCTCCTCCTCTGGCTCCAGACCTCCTGGTCTGGCCCTGGCCGGCTTTTCCTGTCTCCGTCCTGGCAGCCCCGCTGTCCAGCCCTGCATCCAGCGAGCCCCGGGCTCACTTCACATGCTCTGCCCTCTGCCCAGAGCGCCCCCGCCCTGTCGGCCTGACCATCAGATTCCTGCCCCGCCGCAGGAGTGAGCTGCCATGATGGAGGAGCTGCCCAGCGAGGCCTTCTGCTCCAAGCGCGATCTGGGGCGCTCTTCTGGGCTCCCACCGGGTCATCTGGCCCCCCGGGCGTCAGAGCCTTCAGAGGTTTCTCATTGCTCTCGGAGTACAGACCCAACTCCTTGGCCTCTCCGGACCCCGTGGGGCCTGGCCCTCGCCTGTCGGCAGCCCCTTCCCCACAGCGGCTCCCTCCGCTCTAGCCTGGCCTTGCTGGAGCTTCCATCCGCTTGGGGCCTTTGCTCTGCTCTCTCCTCCGGCCTGTTTTCTCTCCCTCTTCCCCCGTCTGTTCCTAATCATGCGCAGATGTCCAGGCAAGATCACAGTCCCCTTACAGGCTCTCCTTACACCTTGAACCATGGTATTTTGACATTTGTTTGTGGGACTAGTTGATTGGCATCTGCCGCCCCACTAGACCACGTGCTCCGTGAGGTCAGGGCCCTGTCTGATCCCCTGTGTCATGTTTGTTGAATGCCCAGGGCACAGCAGGCTGTCAGCAGGCCTGGAAGGAAGGAGTGGTGTGAAGTGCCTTCTCAGAGCCTTCCCTGACGCCCATCGACACGAGAGCCCTGTCCTCCCGTGCACCTGGCGCGTCCTTTTCAAAGCAGTGTCTGCTCCCTGCCTGTGTCCCAGGACAGGGACGTACCTCACGAATCTCTGCCCCCTGGGCCGACACCGGGCCTGATGCTTAGCACTCAACAATTGTGGGATGGATGGATCTTGGTGTGTAGTGGGAAGTTTTATCTTCTTTCCTAACTGTGTTCAGAGTTTGGGGAGTTCCACTTGTGTTTGTTTTGCAGGCGGTGTGATTAAGGTCAAGGAACTGGACTGGCTGAAAGACGACCTCTGCACAGGTGCGTGGCCTCCTCTGTCGTGTCCCAGTTGATTCATTGGTTCCTTGGGCTGCCCCCAGGCCATCAGCCCTGTGGCCTTGACCGCCCAGCAGTGTCCTAGCTCCGTTGGCTGAAGAGTGACAGCTGCCATTCTTGGTGCCGCATGTCAGGCACCCTGCACTCATTCTGTCATTCAGACTCACAGTATCACTGTCCAGTCGGTCCTAGAGTCCCCAGTTCCGGGGAAGACTGATGCTCAGAGAGGTTCAGTGCCTGCCCAGGGTCACAGGTACCTGGCAGGTCAGGGTGTGAACCCAAGTCTGGGACTCCAGGGCCTAGACCGTTTGCCTGCCAGGAAGCAGCTTCCCGCTTAGCACCCGTCCTCTGCCTGCAGCAGGGAGTCGGCCCCAGGGGTTCAGGGGCTGCTGGGTGGGGAACATTTCTAAATTTCTTATGCAGACTGTTTCAGACCTGCACCTTTGCTCTTTCTTTGTACAAGAACTTTTCTTTTCCCTGTCAGATGTCAGGTGAGGAAAATCATTGCTTGTTGAGTGCCTGTCACCTAGCAAGCACCTAGCACACTTGAGGTCCTTTGGTCTCCCCGACAGTCCTGTGAGGGAAGCATTGTTATGCCCATTCTAGTGCAAACACTGCAGCCCAGAGAGGTGAAGCACCTTTCCTGGGGTCACACAGCAAGTCCACGGGGGCAGGAATGCCATGGACGGAGGTGTAGATCGTTTTCTGCACAGGCTACTGGCCGAGTCAGCAGGTCAGACCCCCATGGATAACGTAGCCGCCCCGGCAGAAGGGGCACCTCCTTCCCTGAAGTTTTCCACGTGGGTGGCGGAGGCACTGGGATTCGGGGCTGCCTGGTGGCGCCCACTGCACCGAGCTTACCCGACCCCATTTCTTTTCCTGAAGCTTCTTTCAGTCTGTCTCGGTGAGAGCTGGTGGCCCGCAGAGAAAGGGCTGAACCCAAGGTGTCCTTCCCCTTTCACAGATCCCGAGGTCCCCTTCAGCTGGTCGGAGGAGGACATCTCCGACCTGTACGGCCACACCACCATCGTGCTCGCGGCCGAAGGTGAGGGCGCCTCCGCGGCACAGCCGGTGTCACCGCTCGTCGTCACGGGCCGGCTCCCACCACGGCTCCGTGCCGCTTTCATTCTGAGCGCTGTGGCTGTTATGTTTATCAGAGATTCCGTCCATGGGGCCCGCTGAGGACTCATTTCCTCTGATATTTGCCTGTTTTCTTTCCCGCAGTGTTTTACGACGATGACCTAACTGATGCTCTGTTTAAAACACTGTCCCGACTGGCTCACAGGTTGAAGAACGCCTCCACCGCCATCCTCTCTGTGGAAAAGAGGTGAGCTCCTCGCGGGGCCAGACTCTCACCTTCCAGATGCGTCCTCACTGGTGTCGTCCTCATCACTTGCTTATCCAGCACCTGCTGCAACCGGGCCCGCTGGTCCTTTACACACGTGGCCTCGTTTAATCCGCTCACCAACCCCGTGTGCAGGCACTGCCATCCCCATCGCACAGCCGACGGGAGGAGGGCTGAGGCATCAGGGACCCGTCCAGGCTGTAGCTGGGCAGTGAGTGCGTCAGAGCCCAGACACATGTCCACTCTGCACCCCGGGCCTCTGCCCTCACCCTGACACAGAGCCCCTCCGGGGCGTTTCTGCCCGGATGTCCTGAAACGTTAGGGCTCTTGTTGATGGAGTGACCATGTTGTGATAGACTCAGTGCTGGGCCCCCTGCACACATTTTCCTCTAATTCTTGTGATAACCCACAGCTTTTCTGAAGGCAATTTAGAGTATATAGCAAAAGCCATAAACCCAAACACACTGATTTTTTTTTTATTGGAGTACAATTGCTTTACAACGTTGCATTAGTTTCTGCTGTACAGCAGAGTGAATCAGCTATGTGTATACATATATCCCCTCCCTCCCACCCCCCGCATCCCAGCCATCTAGGTCATCACAGAGCACTGTGCTGAGCTACTGTGCTATACAGCAGCTCCCACTAGCTACCTATTTTACACATGCGAACACACTGATTGACCCAGCAGTTCAGCATCTGGAACCGGCCCTGAGGAGGCGATCCCAGCCGTGCACGGAGCCGTCCAGATGGACACATCTGTTGCAGCGTTGTTTACACCGATGACCTCCAGGACCCCCTTCAGGGTCCACGTGACCAGTGGCAACGTGTGGACCCGATCACTCGGGTGGAATCTTGGGCACATGCCTTCCCCTCTCTGAGCCCCAGTCCCCACCTGAGCGGAGGCCGTAGCCGGCCCCACCTCCCAGGCTCTCCTGCAGATGCCAGAAGGCCGTGCACTGGCGCCCAGCATGCAGGAGGCGCTCAAAATCCAGTGCCGTGACGGGAGGGAGCCGCAGAGCCTCCGGTGGTGACAGGCAGTGTGTGTGTCGCGGCTTGTGCGCAGGCTGAACTTCACGCTGCGGCACCTGGAGGTCACGTGCGAGGCCTACGACCACTTCCGCTCATGCCTGCGGCGACTGGAGGGGCTGACCGGTGGGCGCCTGCGCTTCGCGGTGGAGCCGGTGGACGTTTCCTTCCCGCAGCTCTTGGTCTACGAGCGCATCCAGCAGCTGGTAGGTGTGCCCGCCCACCCGAGGGCAGCTTGCTCTGGCCTGAGGCTGTCGGCTGGAGGAGGTCGTGAGCCAGCCTCCAGGTCCAGCCCGGCCCGCGCTCTCCCCGCTGACCCCGACGCTGGGCTCTCTCCAGGTCCAGGAGGGCCTGCCTGGCCAACGGTCACTTGGCCTTAGAGCAATTCCTCTTGCCGCGGGCAGTGCAGACTCCAGGGGAAGCGGGGGCGGGGGGGGGGGGGCATTGCGTGTGGGTTGCTCTTGACTGGGCTGAAGATCTTGACGCAGGAGCCCCAGTGCCGACGGCCACGTCTTCACTGTGAAAGTGTGTGGCCTCGTGGCCTAGGCGGGCTTGCCTGATGGCCGGTGGCCCGTCTGACGGGGCAAGTGGGGTCCCATCACATAGGCCTCTGAGCAATAACCCCAATGACATGCTCTAGGTGCCGGCTGTCTCAGCGAGAGACAAGGTGAGTCCCAGCCAGGAAAGGGCGGGACTGGGGTTAATCACTTCCTATTACAGTTTTAAAACCAGCACTAGGGGGAAATCTGCAAAGTCAGAAGACCCTTTAAAATCCCTTAAACTTTGTAGGAGCTGGATTCATATAAGTCCCAAGGTCTTTCATTCTCTTGGCCTCTTGTCTGCAGCCGCCCTTTGTCTGGGTCTTTGGAGACCCGGCCTGGCTCTTAGGAAGAGGGGCCTGCTCAGCTCGCCCCCCCCCCCGTCCCTTCCGCCAGCAAGCACGGCATTGCGTTCATTCGTGTGTGGGGTTCCATGTGCGAGGAGGGCCTTCCCTTCATCGCTCCGCGGCCTCTGAGCTTCCCGGGCCCCTCCTAGTGAGGGTGCCAGGCTCCCACTAAGAACTTGGCGCGTTTTGTACCTTCTCCACCTGCCAGCATTAAGAGGAGCATCACACAGCCAACAAATCAGCTCCCCACAAAATCCAGCAGCTGTGCTGCATGGCTCCCAGAATGGAGAAGGTGTGCGACGTGTGGCCGTTCTGGTCCCTTTGACAGTGTGGCAGCCTCCTGCCTCTCAGATCAGTGCCAGGACTCAGCATCCAGCTCCGCCTCCACGGAACAGCCCAGAGCAATAAAAGCACCGGGAGAGGCTCCCTGCTCTCGCGGTAGCTTTCATGCTGCCCGTTTTTCGCGTCTTGTTTGGGGCTTCTCTTTTGCTGATTACGTCCCTTTATGAAATCGTGAAGTCTCATTTGCACATCTCGGAATCTCCCCCTCTCTCTGCTGCAGGAGCTCTGGAAGGTCTTTGTGGAACCAGTAACAGAACCCATCGTGTCTGCAGACACAGCTTCTTGACCGTTCTTGTGATGTTTCTAATAAAATTGAAAGCTCACAAAGTAATGTGCTTGAGATTTTATTGTTTAAAAAATACGGCAGGTGGGCCTTGTGTGACCCAATGCGGTTTTCTGCTTCCCGGCAGCAGCCAGAGAACGTGACTGCCCTAGGCTGGGAGTCCGTTTGGTTGCATGTGGTTTTTGTGCTGCCGGCTTGGAGTAGGTGTTGCAGGGTGTTTGAGAGCTGCTTGGTCAAGTTGGGCGGTGTTCTCAGCTTGGTTCCGCTGGAGCTGATGACCTTACCCAGGTGCTTCCCTTGGAGCGGGGGCCCCAGGCCGCACCCATAGTCTTTTATGTTCTCTTCTAACTGCTTACAAATGAGTTTAATACCATCTTCACAGTTGCCGTAGTACCACCCCGCAAAATGGGGCACAGAAGCCTCCTTGCCTTCCACGCTGCGTGTGCCCTGTCCCTGTCCCTCTGCTGGGGGCCCCTTCAGAGAAGGAGGCAGGAGCTCCCAGACTGGACGCCTCTGGCGGTGGCCCTTGTTTTATGTTTTAACCCTTTGTAACCAAAATTGGGTGTGCGTAGAACAAACATAAAAGCCACTTTTTTGGGTCCTGCAGCTGCCTAGGGCTGGGGTCCGCGCAGCCACCTGCCTCGCGGGCATTTCCCTTCCTCAGCCTGGCCTTGTTCCCCCTGTCCCCTCAGTCTCTCCACCATGCGCCACCTGTGCACTTGTTTGTCTGTCTGATTTTGATCTTTTTGTCTGTGCCTCGGCTGTATCTCACCCCCTCCTTCTTGCTCTCCCCCTTTACCTTGTCTCTTTATGCCCCTCCCACCCCCTCTCCCTTCTTCTCCTTCTTTCCAGTTAGGGTCCCTCCCACCCTCCCAGAGGCTCCATTTCCCCGCCTCGCTGCTCCTGCCCGCTTTCCACCAGGGCCCAGCATGCCCCTTCCCCGGCTGCCCCTGCAGCTGCAGCTCAGCTGCTCCTGCCCACGTCGCTTCTCCCCAGGCACAGGTCCGATTGCCAGGCCCGTCGTACCCCCCACCCCGGTCATTGGCTTATCCTGACACCGTGGGCTAGGCTTTTGCAGGTCTCAGTTCATTTCATTTTCCCAACAACTCTAGGAAGTCAGCAGCCTGGTTAGACCCACTGAACAGTTGAGAAGACTAAGGCTCCAAAAGGGAAAAAGCTCCATGAGGTCAGGGACCCTGTTTGTCTCATATACCAGTGTATTCCCGGCACATGGTCCTGGCCCGAAGTAGGTACTCGGCACATGTTGTTGGTTTTTTTTTTTTTTTTTTGCAGTAGGCGGGCCTCTCACCGTTGTGGCCTCTCCCGTTGCAGAGCACAGGCTCCGGACACACAGGCTCAGCGGCCATGGCTCACGGGCCCAGCCGCTCCACGGCATGTGGGATCTTCCCGGACCGGGGCACGAACCCGTGTCCCCTGCATCAGCAGGTGGACTCTCATCCACTGCGCCACCAGGGGAGCCCTCGGCACATATTGTTGAATGAATCGTTAGTAGGAATTACTGCTTAGGATGGTGGTTTTCAGTTGTGGGCAGTTTTGCTTCCAGAGGCATTTGGCAAAGTTTGGAAACATTTTGGGTGGTGACCACTCGAGGAGATGGGCGCCACTGGCCAAGGAAGCTGCTAAACATCCTGTCCTGCACGGGAGCCCCCCCAACAAAGAATGCTCCAACCCAAAATGTCAGTGGTGCCAAGGTGGAGAAACCGTGACCTGGAAGAAGAGAATTAGCTACTTTAGGAAAGAAAAGTGGGCCTCCGCCGTACCTGCCATGAAAGCAGTGCAGGAGAATGAGTCCCAGCCCTTCCCTCTGGGAGTGGAAGGAAGTCTACACACATCATCTCTAAATCTTACAAAGATCCCGAGAGGAGGAAGTATCCCCATTTTAAATGTGAGAAATCTGGGACTTCCCTAGTGGTGCAACGGTTAAGACTCCATGCTTCCATTGCAGGGGGCATGGGTTCGATCCCTGATCAGGGAACTAATATCCTGCATGCCACGTGGTGTGGCCAAAATAGATAGATAAATAAATAAATGTGAGAAATCTGAAGTTCAGAGAGGTTAAGCAATTTGCGCACCATCACACAGCTGCCAAGTGGCAGAGTCGGGCTCCCAGCCCGGGCCTGTGCTCTTCCCACATCCCCACAGTGCGGTGCCTGGACCGGCAGCACCGGCGCCAGTGGCATCACCTGGGAGCTTGTTAAACATGTAGCAGCAACACGAGCCCAGACCGGAGACAGATCTGCATTCTGACAAGACGCCGGGTGATTTGTGAACACAGTGGTTTGAGAGGCATAGCATTTGAGCTACTCCCACTTTCCAAGGTTCCTACACACAAAAAAAAATCCCTGATAGACTCGCCATAATCAGGCATAATCCCTGATAGACTCGCCATAATCGTGCAGATCACGATGGGATTTATTAATAACAAGTCTTCGAAATAGAAACCCCCCCCCCAGACAGAGCCCCAGCTGGTGATGTATCAGCATTACCGGTGACATTTTCCTCGTGCTCCTGGGGACAGGCCTATAAATGTAATTGACACCAAGCAATAGAGTTTGTCACGCCTTTCACCTGGTGCGTTAGGGCAAGTGCTTTAATGTCCAAACCACTTGGCCTGAAAGCTTCCTCTAAGTGGAGCCTGGAATTAATCTTGATTCACTATAATTCAAGGCAACATCAGATTTTCACTTCTCAGAGTGGAAATGCACCCTTATCGCCGTGTTTTAAGGCTTTGCTCGAGCTTCTGTAAGCGCTTGTTTGGCAGTGCTATTTCAGAATCATCAAACCATCAAGGTGTTCTGCTAGAGAATTAACCCAGGCCATTGGACTCAAATTTTTTTTTTTACATATTCTAACATTTTCAGAGGATATATGGCCCAGGGAGGGGACTTGACTTGGTGGTTCAAGCCTACACGGGAAAGATTTGGTAAAACCAACAAATAGTAACGCTGTGGGCCCAGCACTTCTCAGATTCTATGCACGTGAATCACCCAGGGGTTTGTTTTTTTTTTAAAATTAATTTATTTATTTTTGGCCGCATTGGGTCTTCGTTGCTGCGTGCGGGCTTTCTCTAGTTGCGGCGAGCGGGGGGCTACTCTTCGTTGAGGTGCACGGGCTTCTCATCATGGTGGCTTCTGTTGTCGCAGAGCATGGACTCTAGGCGTGCAGGCTTCAGTAGCTGTGGCTCACAGGCTCTAGAGCGCAGGCTCAGCAGTTGTGGCGCACGGGCTTAGTTGTTCCGCGGCGTGTGGGATCTTCCCGGACCAGGGCTCGAACCCGTGTCCCCTGCATTGGCAGGCAGATTCTTAACCACTGCGCCACCAGGGAAGCCCCTTACCCAGGGTTTTGACAGACGCAGATGCTGACTCAGTCCTGGATGGGGCTCGATGCTGCAATTTACCAGGCTCCCAGATGATGCTGGTGCAGGGACCACATTGTGAAGAGCAAGACTGTAATGTGTCATCCCTGGTTAAGGGCACAAACTTTGGGGTTGGGCAGACCTGGGTTCAATCCTGGCTCTGCCACAGACCAGCCAGATGACCTTGGACAAACGACCTAGTCTCTCTGAGCCTCAGCTTCCGCATCTGTAAAATGGTAAGTCTCCCCCTCTTCATGGAGTTACTGTGAAGATGATATTAGATAATCTGAGTAAGATGCACTGGGGAAATTTTCAGTAGATTGCAGGTATTGTCCTAATGTAGAGTTGTTTGGTTTGGGAGCATCTTCAGTTTGTACACCGTGGCCTGGGTGATTTATAAGGTCTGGTTGTCTGTCATCGTCACCTGCTAGAGGAGTCACTGAGAGCCATCTCTACCTCTCTGTGTACATAAAACGGATCCTGGGAATTCCCAGGCAGTCCAGTGGTTAAGACTCGGTGCTTTCACTGCTGTGGCCCGGGTTCAATCGCTGGTCGGGGAACTAAGATCTCACAAGCCACAGTGTGCAGCCGGAAAAGAAAAAAAGAAACAAAACAAAACAGATCCTGTGTGTTACCTATCCTGCCACAATAGCTGGGCAGAGAGCAAATTTGAAAAGTCATACTGAACAGGCCTGCCTTCAATTCCAGGCTCCGTGTTACACACAAAGGTCACTTTGGAGGACCTGAGTGGCCCTCAGAGGAATAGGCAAGTCACCCTCAACACCACTGGTGGGGGAGACCACTGCCTGGGGAAGCGATCTCAGGGTCCAGGTATCTCATACAGGGTGGAGCTGGAAGTGGGATGTCGTGTCTGCCCCATCCGAGGTGAAAACTAGGGCATGGGGCTGACCCTAAGTCGGCAGGCAGATCCTGGCCCTCCGTGACTCTGGTGTAAAGCATCCTGGCAGGAGCCCCAGCTTGCTGTGTCTCTGCATCAAGGTGACCCGTAGGCCTCTGGGCTCTGGGCTGCAGCAGCCGTACTGGGTACCTGGGCGCTGGTCCTCCCGATGGGATGACGACACTGTCATCATGCTATGACGACATGCTATGTTCCCTGCCCTGCGGTCTTCTAGAAAGCTACTCAAGTGTGGTATTAGATCTCGGGAATGTGACTGCAAGGTCGAACCCACCTCGGCCAGCGCACGGGCTGAGGTGCTGAGCAGGTGGTCACACTGCAGACAGTGGAAGAAGGCAGGGGTTCACCCCTGGTCCCAGCTAGAACCCAGGACACCTCCCAGACTGTGCCGTTCCCCACCCGGCGTGGCAGCCCCGTGCCCCAAAGCAGGTGTCAGCCAGGACTTGGTGACCCAACACTGCTGAGTGGTTTTTCTCCACAACACTGGGGCAGCTAGCTGGTGGTTCTGAAATCCATGAACTATTCAGTGATGTTACAGTCTCTCTACCAACAGACTGAGAAATCAACCTGATGGTTTTGTGCATTTTAACCTTCTGTTAAAACCACAGGGAATTCCCTGGCGGTCCAGTGGGTAAGACTCCACGCTTTCAATGCAGAGGCCCAAGTTCAATCCCTGGTCAGGGAACTAGATCCCGCACGCATGCCGCAACTAAAAGATCCCTCATGCTGCAACTTAAGACCCAGCGCAGCCAAAAT